CACACTTGAAGGGACGCTCACCTGCACACGGGAGGTATGAAGTAGAGTTGTCATGATAACATAATTTGAACATTTGATATGATTCTAGTAAAATCAATTGATATCAATAATACCCCGTTTGATACCAAGATCTTTCAAAAAACAGAGATTGTGTCATTCTCAGTGAGGTATCAAACATTTTGACAAGGTCAGAAGATGATATGTGACAGCTACGGCTTTCATGCAGCAGGTGATTCAGCTCAGAGAACAAATATCAAACATTTTCACAGACTGCTCATGTGTCCTAAGAACATTTCTATGATTAGTTTAGCTACAATGTGATTCATCTTCTTTTATCAGGCATTGTATTTGTTATTATTTTTTGTTTCATATATTTTAACAATAAGTCGTAGCTCCCTTTATTCTCTCTCAAAAATCTCTTGTTTTGTTCATACAATAGTTTGTGACCAAATCTGAGAAGGACAAAAGTGTTGTGTATAAATTTAAACCTTATTGGTAGATGATATTTTGTTCTCATGAATCCAGAACCTTGGAGTTTGCCTCTCCTGCATATTTAATGTTTTTTTTTATTTCTGGAGTCCTGTGAAGTGAAGACATGAAGGGACTTGGTCTTAATGTATTCACACTTTAAAGTGGGTAAAAATAGCACATTACTCTGCTGTTCGCAGTGTCACTCAAATAGGAAAACAATAGAATCAAGCGGATTTTGTCACTGAAGCTCACTTGTGTCGCATGCTATTAGGACAGGCTGTCAGACAAAAACACAACTCAACACGAAAACACAAACAACACAGAACAGGCAGTCACAGCATTACAACTTTACCATGTTAGTCCAATCAGTGAGCTTCAGAGAGAGCAACACAAACAAATCCAGTTAGAGACAGAAACTTAGAATGACACACACTACTTCTACTCCAACTAAAACTAATAATACCACTATGACTACTGTTACTACAACTAAAGCTACACAATACTTTTACTAGTAGTGCTAATACTGCACTCTACCTGCTTGTAGAATCTGACAGTATTTAAGGTTACACTGATGTCAAGTCCAGACAAACAAATCCAAATCAGGTAAGTCCTGAACTTGGGTGTCTTTCTAGTGCTTTCCATCACATTAAAGCAGCGCTGGAGTGAGTCAGAGTTAATTGACTCTTCTTCCAGTTGGTTAAGTTCAGTTGAATGCTGTCTAGGTGAGTTCACACGTGTGTTTGTGTGTATCCACATAAACCCCACCTCCCTGTAGACCTGTTGTTCATCTTTATGTTTTTTTTATTTCTGAAGGACGTGTGTTAGAGAGGCTTTGTGCTGATCAGATAATGTTTGACTGCTGTTCTGTTCTGTCCTGTAACTCATCTCTTCACCTGTACAGGTAACTGTGTCAGTGTGGACGACTGACCTGAGTGAGTCCTCATGTGCCGGGTCAGGTGAGTCTTCTGAGAACTGGAGTAGTCGCAGTACAGACACTGAAAGGGGCGCAAACCTGTGAGACAAAAAGGACACAACACCTGCATTAAGCACTAACCTGGACCCAAACTTTTGTTTATTCAGTCTGCTTTTATGTTAACAACGGCTCCGTATGTCCTACCTGTGAGTGTTAGTCCTACCTGTGTGTGGTAGTCCTGCCTGTGTGTGGTAGTCCTACCTGTGAGTGTTAGTCCTACCTGTGAGTGGTAGTCCTGCCTGTGTGTGGTAGTCCTACCTGTGAGTGGTAGTCCTGCCTGTGTGTGGTAGTCCTACCTGTGAGTGTTAGTCCTACCTGTGAGTGGTAGTCCTGCCTGTGTGTGGTAGTCCTACCTGTGTGCATTAGTCCTACCTGTATGCGTTAGTCCTACCGGTCTTAAGCTAGGACTTGACTTGGCACTCTAAATCTGACCGGACCGTTACACCACCAAGGCATAAGCCTTCTTCTGGCTTAGACCGGTCGTAAATCTTACGGCTGGTCAGGAGGAGGCGTTAAGTTTTAATCTAGGCCATCACCGCAGCAACAACATTACGCTGAGCTGTCCTGGACTTGCAGTTTGTGTCGGCCCTGTCATCAACACTGCAGCTTCTGCACTGAAGCTGTCCATGGTACTGGCTCATTAGGTGGGTTTCCATGAGCCTTTTAATGTATTAAAGCCGCTTGATGGGCCGAAGGTGACCCGTTGGACAATTTTTACATCCAGCCCAACCTAATAGCTGCAGAAACAATGGATAGACTATAAGCATGTTGCACTGTCTTCTTCTGTTTTGGTAAACTGACACCTAATTGGAAACTAACTCCCTATATTTGCATGGCAAGTGGATGGAAACACACATAAATGCGCATTTTCTATTTTTGGAAAATGAATTTATTTTTATGTTAAATCATCGCCTCGATTTTTATTGAGAAAATGAAAGAAACAAAGAAGATTTTTTTTTTAATATAAGCAAATAGTTAAGACGAGCTGAAAGAAACTAAAAAGACATTGAGAGGATTTTACAGCGTATCCTAGCAATGAACGCTGCTAGGCAATAACCATGGCAACGTGGAAGTTCACATGAACCCGCATCGCCAAGACTGGGTGGAGCTAGGCCTAGGCTTAAGTTCTGTTGGTGAAACAGACTTGGAATCCTTTCTTAAGAGAGGTCTTAGCTAAGTCGACCTTCGTAGTTAAGACGAGTTCTTGTCACTGGCCCTCTGATGTGTTAGTGCTACCTGTGTGTGTATGTCATACCTGTGTGCGTCCTGATGTGTTGAATGTAGTTGCTTTTGCGGTCAGAGAAGTAGGAGCACTGGCTGCAGGTGTGCAGTTTGCTGGGGAAGTGGTTCCTCAGATGTTTCCTCCAGTGGTACTGGCTGACGGTGGTGTACGGACACAGCGTGCACTTAAACACTCTGCAGAGGTCAGAAATTTAAACAGATCATTCAACACAAATTTTCCCTTTTTGCAGACAATTTTTTAATTAACTTGTCGTGCCCAGATAACACCATTTTCAAACGACTGTCATTTTTGGATGGTTTCAGTTGTGTTTCAGGTTATAAACTGAACATTCAAAAAGACCCAAGTACTAAGTTTTAAGTACAAGCCCAGCCAAATCACACGCTCTAATATTCAACAAGACAGGGATCTAAAACACATGAGATATTTAGGAGTCAACTAAATTCTATCCCATTGAACAAGGAAAATTAAGGATGACATAAGGAGATGGAAATCATTATCACCTGTTTTTGTTCCTTAAATACAGTTTCTGGTGCAAGATCTACAGATAATTAAAAAACATCTTTAGGACAAATATTGATTTTATATAGGACCAACTTATTGTTGGAATCTTGCATTCATTTACAAACCAAACAAAATCTATACTTTTTTTTAGAAAAGGCAGGGAAGGCAATCACAAAAAAAATGGCCTGAGCCAGTTACTCCATCAAGAGAAGACTGGTCATCTATGAAATGTATAATGAAGCAAATCAACTTTGCTTTGCGCTCCAGAAACTCCACTCCAGGTACTATGGGTAAAATGGAAATCCGATAGCTCCCCTAACTGCCCATGCTTTGTATAAGCTTAAATTTTACATTTGTTTATTTGTTGTATTTTCTTCTCTTAATTTTGTTCAATAATAATAAACTGAAAAGAGGGTTCACTATAGAATTTGTCGAACCAAGCAAGACTGTAAAAATGTTTGTGAATGTTTGTGATTCCGAATAAAATAACAATACAAAAAAAAAGATCACGTATCAAATGGAGGAAACATTAAGTGTTAAGGTGCGAGTAGCCATGACGACGCGGTCCTTTTACCTGTGGTTCACACCCTCCTTGCTGTGGTGCTTCAGGTGAGCGATGTAGTGGTCGTATCTGTTGGTGTTGTATCCACACCGCTCACACCTGATTAGGCCTTTGATGTCGCCTGTTGTCCCCGCCTCCCCGCTGATCTCCGCCTCCCCTCCTGACAGATCCTGGGCCCCAGGTGATTCTACCTCCTTGGACTTGTTCTTGCTCCGCCCCTCCACGCGGTTCACTACCATCATCTTGCTGACGCCGTGCGTGCCCAGGTGCTCGACAAACTCGCGCTCGTTCTGAGCCTGGAAGTGACACGGCTTACAGTGAAACGGTTTCTTTTTCTTGCTGCTCTCTGTCGCAGGGGCAGGGCTGACTTTGCATTTGACGACCTGCTCCGATGTTTTGGCGGTGGTAGAGGGGCGGAGCTGAGTGCGATGGGAAAGGTCTTCAGCTTTGTTCCCATCATCATCCTCCTCTTCCTCTTCCTCCACAGGGTTTTCCAAAACCACAGCCTCAATACTCGGGCCCGGAGACTCAGGGTACTCGATGATGCACACCTCCCTGTGGTTCTGGTTGTCAAAGCTGTACCTAAGCAGGTAATAACAGGTCACACACAGTTACCACACAGGTAAGATCATACACAGGTAAGATCATACACAGGTGAGATCACACAGGTGTTGGACCAGACTAACTCCTCACCTGATGATGTTCTCGTCCTCGCTGTCGGAGTAGCTGCATCCCACCGTCTTCAGCTCCATCATCTCCTTTTCATCTCCCGCGCTCCCATCTACACCGTTGCTCTCCGCTGAAGTCACGGCTGCCATGTTGGCGAGCATCACCAGCTGAGGGGCATTCATCTCGTTGAGACTCTGAGCGTCCTCCATCAGAGACACACCCACGGGAAACATCCCCACAGAGAACACGGTCTGAGCAGCCATGTTGAGTTCAGATGTTCAGATGTTCACCTCCACAGGACGAGAAGCTGCAGAGATAGTATTTATTGTTATTAAACTCACAGTAGGTCTGACAATTCATAAATGTGGACTAGCGTTGTCATGAAACTAGCATTTGACATTTCCATGTGATTCTACAAAAAAATCTAACAATATATCAACATCTGTTTGATACAACAGCAACAATAATAGAAGCCCTCTGCACCCAATATTGGGTCATTTCTTGTTTTAAGTTATCAAAAATAAAAGATTGCAGGCAAAGTTGTCAATAGAAGTATTTGTACAATTTAGACAGTGTCTATGTTGCTCTCATATTTGTAAATATTATTGGACGAAGCCTGAGTGACGTCACCCATCTTTTACGGCAGGGGGGGCTTCAGAGGCAACGGCCATGCTCGAAATCCTGTCTCAGCCTAACTTTCAGTCCACCTAACGACAGGCTAAGAGCTGGAGCAGAGGCTGGTTTCAAGACTCTTGACAAACCGTTACATCGCACCCACCTGTCAATCAGGTCAGCTACGCACCTAACTATAGATAACACGTATCGTTCATAAACTCAAAACAGACGCGTTATAAAAAAAATCATTCCCCTCCAATACAGTGTGTGCCCATGAGGAGAATAACTAATCAGACTGATATTACCAGGCTGTAAACATGTTAATTTCTGCTGTGAAAACTGCTTTTTTTTTGGCTGTGGTGTGTATGTGCCATCCACAAGTGGACAGTCGATGAACTGACAGATTTTGCACTTCCACATTAGCTTCATTTTGCAACCCCTGAGGTTGACGCTTACTTTTCTCTCTGACTGTTTGGGTGACATAACGGAAACTTTTGCAAGAGACTCCATAAGGTCTTGAAAAACATCAGTATTTATGCAATTTAGACATTGTGCGGGAGTTTATCTGCAATTTTTGATGGATATATTCCTCTCATACACATCTTTCTTTTAGAATGGATGTAGTTTTTAAAAAAAAGCTGTAGTACTTTTTGATAACATGGACAATATGTAGGAGTTTACCTGCTATCTGTGTTCATTCAAAACAAGAAATTAAAATGTCCAATATTGGAGCTTAGGGGGCGGCAGTAGCTCAATCTGTGGGGACTTGGGTTGGGAATCGGAGGGTTGTTGGTTCAAGTCCAGGCACGGACCAAGTCTGGAAATTGGCCTGGTAGCTGGAGAGGTGCCAGTCCACTTCCTGAGCACTGCGAGAAATGCACCTAACCCCCCCCACCACCAGCTCAGGAGCGCCCACTGTGGACAGCCCCCCTCACTCTGAGACCTCTCCATTAGTGCATGTCCATAGGATCCAGTTTGTGCAGCATGTTTACGAGACAATTCTACAATTCACTTAGCAGACGCTTTCATCCAAAGCGACACATTGGACATTGTTGCTCAGCTGGGGGATCGAACCCTCGACCTTCCGGTTAAGAGGCGACGACTCTACCAACTGAGCCACACCCGCCCATCAGAGTGTGACAGACAGAGTGTAAAAAAAAATTAAGTATAAATGATTATTCTATTTTTCAGCTGTGATATCGAACCGGTATCGACATCATTTGATTTTTACAATAATAATATTGAAGTTTAAAATTATGGCATTTTGACAACCCAACACTGGACCACCTGAGACCTTTGTGACCTACAGTCAGTTTAGAAAGAATGAAACATGATTGTAATATTCTGCAGAAAAACACACAGTGACATAAAGAGTGTGTGGTTAGTGTGTAACGCCCAGCTGTAACCCAGCACATCAGGATGACGTTTTTCTTGTGTTGTTTCTGATGTCAAACTGGGGGAAATGTGTGTGTCGGCCATTTTGAAACAGCACCACAGCTCAGTCGACAGCGCCATCAGCCCGGAGAGGAAACCCCGTGCAGAAGTCCGTCTGGAAAACTACTACTTTTACTTTTACTCCACTGGACCGAGATGTAACAATAACAGTCTGTTTTAGAGGGGGAATAACATCTACATCTGATGATTGTTTGATTTAAACACGAGTAAAAGTTGCGGATAGTTTGCAGGGAACACATAAAGTGATAAAATCATCATTAAAGTCCGATGAAAAACGACCAAACGAGAGAAATGTGACTTAGTCAAACTTTAGTCAGAGTTTGGTTAGAGGCAGTAAAGTTGCTCCAGCTGATAAAACTCGGTAATTAAATGAACTGAAGTCAGTTAAGTTAACGAATCCAACTAGTTTGTATTGTTTTAAACTCTTTTCTAACTAACTTTTATCTAAACTAACCCTACAAAGTGTTAAAAAAGTAAAGCGCTGGCTTGTTTAAAACGGGTGTTGTGATTTTCAGCTTTATCAAAACTTAAGTTTGCGGAAGCGGAATCAAACAGCGATGAAGTTAGTCCAAAGTTGTTAAAGTGGGTTTTGTTCGGTGTTTAAGTTACATTAAAGTGTTGTCAGTAGTGTTCGTGTCTGGTCGTGGTGTCGGGAGTGTTAGCCATGGTCCTGATCAGCCCCGGACAGCGCCTTCTTCTCCTCCTCGCCGCCGCCTCCATTTTCCTCCAAACTGCCAACAACTTTCCAGCTGCGGAGCTCCGACAAACCGCGGCTCTCTGTCCCCTCACAAGCCGACAACACTGACACACACACACGGAGAAACTCACCGAGTCTTCACCGCCGAACTTTGCGAGAGTTTTCTTCACTTTCTTTTACGGCTTCGGGACTTTTTTTTCTTCGACGAACAGCGCAGAAAGGAAAAAGTGCAGCAGAAGTTTCCGCACATTCCTCCACAGCGGGCGACGTACGGCTGTTGACGTCATCACGTCGCTCCGGCAGTGAGCTGGAAGTTTCAGGAGGAAGAAAGAAAACACGTTTTATTATCGTGTTATAATAACATCAGCGTGTTGAAAGTCACCACTACACACCGGGGCAGTACCCATTGTTGTGAAAGTACAAACAAAAAGTAGTTGAATTTAAAGTACAACTATAGTCGTTGAGTAAGATTTATGCTATGGAGGACGAGATCTGACAAAAGTATTAATAAATAAATAAATGTATAAATATGGAAATGAATAAATGTAGAAATGAATAAATGTGGAAATAAATAAATATGGAAATAAATAAATGTGGAAATAAATACATGTAGAAATAAATAAATGTGGAAATAAATAAATGTAGAAATGAATAAATGTGGAAATACATGTAGAAATAAATAAATATGGAAATGAATAAATGTGGAAATAAATACATGTAGAAATTAATAAATGAATGTGGAAATAAATAAATGTAGAAATGAATAAATGTGGAAATAAATACATGTAGAAATAAATAAATAAGGAAATAAATAAATGTAGAAATGAATAAATGTGGAAATAAATTTAAGACATTTAATTATTTATGTCCCATTTATTTACCAGTTTTTATTTATTTATTCACGCATTTAATTATTTATTTTTTATTTCATTTATTTATTCCAGTATTTATTTATACATTTATTTATTTATTTATACTTTTGTCAGATCTCGTCCTCCATATTATGCTGAAGTGAAAGTGACTTGTAAAAAAAATCTTTTAAATGTTAGTTTGCACAAAACTGAAACAATGTAGGCCTTGGTGTATGTTGCTGCTTAAAAAAGGGAGCAACATACACACATACATGTCCTGTCTGTCTGTTTATTATATGTTGTATGTCCACTCAGTCCTCCAGTTTGTAGATTACTTGTAATGCTTAGTTAAATCCTGGTTGTATATATTCCCATTCATAGTTTTGATATTTTTAGTGCTTATTTACTTTGTATTTAATATTATATTGTGTTTAGATTTGCTAATATTGTGTTTTTTGCTAATATTGTGTGTTTGGATAACCTGCTGCTGTAACGCCACAATTTCCCAGTTTGGGATCAATAAAGTAATTCTATTCTATTCTATTACTAGTGTTCTGCTATATCCTTCTTACAATACATTTCAAAAATAGTCTCGAGCACAGTTATTGTTGGGGTCCCGAGCTGAAATGTTTGGGAACCCCTGTCCTAAGACTTCTGTTTTTTTTGACATGGTATAAATATTGTTGTTTTTAAATCAAAGTTTAAAATTTGGATATATGTTTCAACATCAATGGACTGAAACAAGTTGGTGAGTCCAAGGAAAAAAAGTCAGATTTGTGCTGGGTTTTTTGAAAATGTCTTTCATATTTTTTATCTACTTATAGAACGAACCGGAACTCAGTAACCCAAATACTAAGGACCAAAGAAAACTACACTTCCTGGAACTACATTAGAACTCGAGGGCTGTAAAGGTCATTAAAACATCTAGACATGAATTTAACTAACATCCATACATCTCTTTTCTCCTCTTCTCCTTTCCTCTCACTGTCTCATTTTCTCCTCCCTTCTCTTCTCCTTTACGTTCCTTTTCTCATTTCTGTTACTTTAAAATCTCTGTCTCCTTTCTCTTCATCATCTCCTTAATTTTTCCCTCCTTTGCTCCCACCTTCTCTTCTTATTTATTTTCATCTCCTTTCCATTCCCATTACCCCTTTCCATCTTCCCTCTCCTCCTCAACTCCTATACTCTTTGTCTTTTCCTCTCTCTCTTCCTTTCCGCTTTTCCTTTCCTTCTCCACTTTATTCCTCACCTCCCCCCTCCTGTGTTTCACATGTGATGTTTTCATACATACACAAGACAGAAACCAAACAATCAGAACCCTTTACAAACTGAAAACACTGGTTGAAACTGGTTTAATGGGTTATTTGCATTGAGCAGGGCCCTGTCTGTCTGTCTGTCTCTCTCTCTGTCTCTCTAATTCTCTAACACACACACACACACACACACACACACACACACACACACACACAGACATAAATCAGCTTTCACAGATTTGTATAAATGTTTTTTTACAGAGGCTTCATTAAGAGTTTTGTTTAAGTCATTTAACAACTAAACAATCTTTGTGTAATAGTCCTTAAGATGATGTGGGTGTACAGTTGTTGTCATCTGTGTGTTAATACTTTATTTTACTGGTACATTTGTT